GCTGGAGGCCAGGAGTGAAACAGATGCATTCTAGCTCCCTGCACAGAAAACTATAAAGATCTCTCTGCCTGTGTTATCAATTACATATTTACTTTGTTAGCATGAGATAGATGAATATTTCTACATACAAAGGTGCCCAGCTAAAATCAGGCTAAGTGATATTAATGTCCTATGGTCAGTATTATTGAACCTCAAAAGCAATAAACTTTATGAGTCAATAAATATTACATTTGCAGCATAGTTAACATTCCTTTACTGTCTCTAGCTCTTATTACACATGGTAACTGCAAGTCTACAATACATTATTCATATTTGGGGTGTCACCAAGTGATGGATTGCTGTAGGAGAGGCTGTCCTTTAAATAAATCAACAAATAAAAATGCAAATGTTAACATTTTCAGCCACAACTTTTTCCATCTTGAATGGGGAATGAAAATTTCACATTATATTGACAGGCAGCAGAGAGAACAATTAACAGCCTACACTGTGAATGAGAAAGATGACTTTGCCACGCCTCATTTTATCACCTGCATATGGAATAATAGGGGGTTTCTAGGTGTTAGCACTTTGCAGAGAACAAAAGAAAACCTGTCTCCCACTAGCATACGTCCCACACCCATATTCTCTTGCAAGACTTGCAAATTCTTGGGATTTTGGGGTGGACAGGGAAAGGTCTTTTACTCTTATTTACCTTAGTATTACCTTCAAAGATTTGTTGCGACAAAGAACAATAGGTTTTTCTTTTGCATTGAATTCCCTGTAACTGAAAAGTAGTCTATAAAAAAATGCCTTTTCTACACTTTGAAATAAAAATAATTCAAATAATCCTGATTCTGAAGTCTGGAAAGCAACCACTGTGCCTTCCTGGTAACTGATTTCATAGCACTGAATCTTTTTCAACTCTGCACTTTGTAGAATAGACCTATAACATGCCATTGTGCATGTCTAAGGACAAAACCTGGTGTGCTACACATTGTTTCTTTAGCTTTAGCTAAATGCTCATTATTTAAGAAGCTTCTGAGGATCTATATTTAGCTGGTCTGCAGTATTAAGAACCAGCAGATACAGAATCCTTTTTCTTAAGGTCCATAAATATGCGTCTTCACAGCAATTTTAACTGGCCTTGTAAAACTCTACGAAGTTGATACGGTCCATTCAGAAAATGTGTGCTGATGATGTTCTATAAAACTCTTCCTGGGAAGCACTTGCTTTTACTTTTTCATGCTTCTCGCTAAACTGAAATGCAAGAATCAAATACACATTAAAGTAGTGTTAAAGGTTCCATTTTAATCTCCAACAACAGGGAAATTCACCAAGACTGAAAACCAGGGCTCTCCCTCCTCTTTACCTGTAATTCCTCCAGAGGACTCCCTCAAGATGAGCAAGGACAGATCCTCTGAGCACAGGTGTTCAGTCACAACGTTAAGCCACTAAGGTGGGAACCCCATCAATATTGCAGAACCACAACTCACTGTAGGTCTTTGGCAAAATAACAACAGCAGCATTAAGAAGGAATAAAGGAGTAATAAACAAAGAATGTGGTAAACTAATTAAATTTTCTTTTGGTTGTGGGTGGCCCCCAAAATAGGGAGGTTGTCTTTGTCAACTATTGTAATATTTAAGATGATGGCCTTTGGAGCCTGTAACGCTGGCTCACCTCTTATTGGCTATGTGACCTTAGGCAAGTCACTCAGTCTCTCTGAGCCTCAGTTTCCTAATTTTTAAAGTGAGGGTGACAGTAGTACCACTTCATAAGACTGCGATGAAGATTAATTAAGTCAGATGATGCACACAAAGGGCTGGGAATACACATGCTTAATAGATGACAGACATTATTGTCATCCTCTGTGTCATTTCCCAAAAGTTCTTTAAAATTAAAATGTCTTAAAATTTGTATTCATCTCATAAGTTACTAGGTATTTAAGTGCTCAAACAATCATATTTCCAAGGAAAAGTAAACCAACCCCTTTTGGTTTTGATATTTATATATTCAGCCATAAGCATATAAATGAGAGTTCGCTTATTAGTATGAGAAATCTTAATGACATATTTATTTTCCTGATTCCAAACAAGACTGGTCAAATTATTAGCTCTTCATTCAAATTTCTCTGTTATAAGTAAATGTTGACAGTCCTTTAATTGTAGTACAAAATCTACTATATTTTTCAATATCAGTGATTCAGTTAGTTAAATTTACAGTCCAGTGTACAGCTATTCTGTGATAAATTGGGAAGGACTTGCTGTTAAGCAGATTTTTTTTTTTTTTTTTATGAAGGAGGATTAGTTGTGTTTCCATGGAAATCCTCACCAATTACCATTATCAACTAGGGAAAGGCACGTTTAAAGAAAAGTGCTCCATGAGCTCAACTGGCCAAATCTAGATGCCAAAAAAGGCCTCTCTTCTGAGTATCAGCCATTAATACTATCAAGATTTTTCCACTCTTTATTAAATAAACCTCAAAAATGCTCTATGGAAATAAAAGGCATCCCAAATGTAAAGGAACAAGTAAAAACTGTCACTATTTGCAGATGGCATGATACTATACATAGGAAACCTTAAAGATTCCACCAAAAATATGTTACAATAAATGAAATCAGTAAAGCTGCAGGATATAAAAAATCAACACACAGAAATCAGTTGCATTTCTACATACTAATAGCATGCTACCAGAAAGAGAACTTAAGAAAACAATCTTATTTACAATTGAATAAAAGTTCCTAGGAATAAATTTAAACAAGGAGGTAAAAGACCTGTACTCTGAAAACTATAAGACACTGATGAAAGAAACTGAAACAACACAAATAAATAGAAAGATAGATCAAACTCACGGACTGGAAAATTAATATTGTTAAGATGTCCATATTACCTAAAGCAATCTGCAATCCCTATCAAAATACCAATAGCATTTTTAACAGAACTAGAAAAGAGTTCTAAAATTTGTATGGAACCACAAAAGACTACAAATAGCCAAAACAATCTTCAGAAAGAGCAAAGCTAGACTCATCATGATCCCTGATTTCAAAGCATACTACAAAGCTACAGAAATCAAACCAGTATGGTACTGGCATAAAAACAGACAGATCAATGAAATAGAATACACCACTGAAAAATAAACCACACATATATAGTCAATTAATTTATGACAAAGGAAGAATATACAATGGGTAAAAGACAGTCTTTTTAATAAATGGTAATGAGAAGCTGGACAGCTATATGGGAAAGAATGAAACTGGAACACTATCTTATACCATATACAAAAATAAATTTACAATGGATTAAAGACCTGAAAACCATAAAACTCCTAGAAGAAAACATAGGCAGTAAAGTCTTTGACATTAGTCTTAGAAATATTTTTTAAACTAGTCTCCTCAGGCAAGGGAAACAAAGCAAAAATAAATAAATGAGACTACATCAAACTAAAAAGCTTTTGCAGAATGAAGGGAACCATCAACAAAACAAAAGGCAACCTATTGAATGGGAGAAGATATTTGCAAATCATACATCCAATAAAGGGTTAGTGTCCAAAATATATAAAGAACTTATACAACTTAATGCAACACACACACACACACACACACACACACACACACACACACATACTACTGATTCTGATTAAAAAATGGGCAGAGCCAAAACCGGTTTGGCTCAGTGGATAGAGCGTCGGCCTGCGGACTGAAGGGTCCCGGGTTCGATTCCAGTCAAGGGCATGTACCTGGGTTGCGGGCATATCCCCAGTGGGAGATGTGCAGGAGGCAGCTGATCGGTGTTTCTCTCTCATCGATGTTTCTAACTCTCTATCTCTCTCCCTTCCTCTCTGTAAAAAATCAATAAAATATATTTAAAAAAAAAAATGGGCAGAGATATTTTTTTTCCCAAAAAAAGATATACAGATGGTGAACAGACACATGAAAAGATGCTCGACATCACTAATCAGGAAAATGCAAATCAAAACTACAATGAGGTATCACCTCACACCCGTCAGAATGGCTATTATCAAAAATACAATATCAACAAACAAGTGTTGGTGAGAATTTGGAGAAAAGGGAACCCTTGTTCGCTGTTTGTGGGAATGTACATTGGTACAGTCATTATGGAAGACAGTATGGAGGTTCCTAAAAAAATTAAACATAAAATTACCATATGATATAGCAATTCCACTTCTGTGTATTTATCTGAAGAAAAAAACCCCACTGATTTGAAGAGATATGTGCACACCTATGTTCATTGCAGAATTATTTACAACAGCCAAGACATGGAAGCAATGTAGGTATCCACTGATAGATGAGTGGATAAAGAAGATGTGGTATGAAAGTAAGAAACCTTGTTATTGTTTGGGTTATATTTTGATTTTTGAAACCCCAGTGCATGAATTCTGTCCAGATGCTGGAGGTAAGAGTGCTTGAATAAATTATCATAAATTATCTTGTGAAATACACACACACACACACACACACACACACACACACACACGATGTGGTATATACGTAACAGAATATAGCTCAGTCATAAAAAGAACAAAACGTTGCAATTTGCAACAACATGGATGGACCTAAAGGGTATTATGCTAAGTGAAATAAGTCAGACAGAGATAAATACTGTATGATTTCCCTTATATGTGGAATTTAAAAAGCAAAGCAAACAAACAAAAGAGAACAAACTCATAGATACAGGAAACAAACTGGTGGGTACAGAAAGGGGAGGGGTTGGGGTGGCAGCTGAAATAGGTGAAGGGGACTAAGAGCTACAAACTTCCAGTTAAAATAGAAATAAGTTATAAGGATATAATGTACAGCGTATGGAATACAGTCAATAACATTATAATAACTTTGTATGATGACAGATGGTAACTAGATTTATTGTTGGGATCATTTCATAATGTATATATCAAATTGCTATGATGTATACCTGAAATTAATATGATATTACACGTCAATAAAAACAAAATTTAAAAAATGCTCTTCTCTGGAGAATATTAAATCAAAGAACACCTGATGCTTACCGGGAGGATTCGTGTTGGAATGACGATGTGCTTAAAAGGTCCTTTTGGCTTTCAATTGTTATAGGAGATGTGGACGCATCTTTCCTAACTCCTGTCATTGTCCCTGTATGAACGATAAAGGAAACAATTTGGGAAGTCAATAAAAAGAAATGGAAAAGCCCATTCTGAGTACTATATTAGAGATTATAGGAATTCCTAAGCTTTGAAATTAAGCATCCCCCATCCCCCTGTAAGATGAAACAATGACAGATGGAAAACTCAGCAGGTTGTTTTGATTTTGTGAGCATCAGAGATCTGCAATATCTTGTTTTAAAAAAGTACATTTGTGCAGTAACAGACTAACTAGAGCTTTTTAAAAAAACCTGATTCCTCTCATATTCCTGCTGGGTTGGGTTTACTGTGAAAATGCCCAAGACGGTAGATTGATTTCATTCCCCTTAACGAACATAATAGAAGATCATTCTTCTCTTTGACAAAATAGAAGATTCCAGCACTCTATACCTCCACTCCCCCCAAAATTAAACTTATCCTGCCCCCAAAGCTTTCAAGGTAGACATGAACCTTGAATGTTTCTTTCAAAGACTCTACACTGGCTAAAGGAAGTGTTTCACTGGAAGAGATGCTCAACTAACCATCCTGGGCCCATGTGGCCTCCGCTCCTCTCTAACAAGCAATGTGCATAACTTCTTTCCTGAAGTGCTAAAGAAGAAGAAGACACGGACATGAATATTTGTTGTGGTTGTTTGTTTCTAGTTATTAGTATTTCTAATAATTTCTCCTCCTTAATATTATTTTCCAAACAACACAAAACGTCCCTGTCTTTTTCTGGAACGCTTATTTACAGTCTTCTTCTGATTCCTGGGAGACTACAATCCAGGCTGCTTAAGGAAGTTATTTGGGGAGATTCACTCTTTCTTTGAGAAAAGGGTGAATATTCAAATATCGCAAAGATAGCTTTGGTGTGTTGGGAATCCCAGACGCTAAAATGCCAAGCACATAGTCTGCTAACTTCAGGAACGGAACAGTTTACGTGTGACCCAGGAAATCAGAACTGGAGAAAGCAAGAGCAATCATCACGGACCCTTGCATTCTCAACTACACTCAGTATTAACTGCTCACTGTTATGGATGGGTGTAAACCACTAGCCACCCAAATGCACAACTGTCTTTTGTGTGTACACAAACCTGTGGGACCCTCAACCCAAACCAGTACATTCCCACACTAGACATTAATCCTCAGTCCACACAGTGCATTCAGTCAGTAAATATTTGTCAAGCACCGAACAACAGGCAAGGGCTGGTGCCAGGATTAAGCTCAAGCTTAGTTTAGGAGGAGGGGAAAGAAGGTGTGAGAGCAAGAGGATGAGTTACTCTCAGAAATACAGTAAATGACCCAAAGCAGTATACAGCAGTAACAACAGGTACAGTATGCTCAGTATGTGCCTGGCACTCTCCTCTTTTCCATATACCATATATTCTTTTATAATAAACAGTTTCATTAAAGTATAATTTGAATACTGTAAATTTTAACCATTTTAGGTGTACAGTTTGATAATAGTAGCAAATCTGTTCAGCTATGAAATCATGGGCACAACCAAGTTTTAAACATTTTGTCATAGTATTTGCTTATTTATTTTTACAACCCAGTTCTATAATATTTCCACACACCAAAAAGGCCCCTTATGCCCATTTGTAGTTCCCTTCATCCTGTCTGTTGCTGCCTTCCCCCTCCCCCAGCTCTATCTCTATAGTTTGGCCATTTCATAAAACCCTTTGCGATAGACACTATTTTTATATCTAATTTCCAGGTAAGGATGTGAGCCATAGGGACTTACATGACCTGCCAAGGTCACAAAGCTATATGTGCCGGAGCCAGCATTCCTGCCCAGACACTTTGATCCAGGAGTTTTCACCATTCTGCTAGTTACTGCATATTAAATAGGATGAAAAGTCTGAGGAATTAACAAGGGAGAGAGATCACATCAGCTGTAGGGAAGACAACGCAGGAGGTGGAATTTTGACAGAAGGAATAGGGAGCATGGAGTTAGCAAAAGCACTAAATTAACAAGCTCAAGGCTACATGTTTGGTATATCCAGGAAATATTTATTGAGCACACTATGTCCTGTACCTTGCTAATCACTTTAAATGCATTATCTCATTAGTCCTTAATTTATATTATTGTCCTCATTTTATGGAATAGGAAGTGGAAAGTGAGAAAAGGTCAAGCAGCATGTCCATTATCACAGGGCTGCTAAGAGCAAGGCTGGGTTTTAAATACAATCAAGGTCTGTACTGCAAACTCAACACTGTGCTAGCTGGCCTAAAAAATAAAACAAAGCAGCAGTAATAACCATTAAAAAACAACAACTGGGCCCAGCAGTGTGGCTCAGTGGTTGAGCATAGACCTAAGAACCAGAAGGTCATGGTTTGATTCCCAGTCAGGGGCACATGCCCGGGTTTCAGGCTCGATCCCCAGTAGTGGGCAGGTAAGAGAAAGCCCATCAATGATTCTTTCTCATCATTGATGTTCCTATCTCTCTCTCCCTCTCCCTTCCTCTCTCTGAAGTCAATAAAACAACAACAAATGAACAAAAGGAACCCTAATTTTTTATGTAAATAAACATCTTTCTCTAAAAAACAACAAATGGCCTTTGGAGAGATTACTTTTGTGCTAGAATTTAGAACAGAGTAAAAGAGAAGGGAGGCAGGTGAAGCCATTCACCACGCCTACAACTGTCTGGGCAGAGTTTGGGGATGGAGGGGAAATTAAAATAAGCACCTGAGAGTAGCAGCAACTGAGAAGGCCTTGTGGGGGAGGCGAGAAGGAAGGGCTGCCTGGAGGCGATGGAATGAATGTCTTTTTAGTCACATAGGCCTCAACATTAGTCTTATCTTTTTCTGTTTTGATACTTCCAACAAAAGTTTGGTTGAGACAATTGACATTTGATGGGAAGAACAGAAAGTAAAACTTTTTTTTCTATTTTTTTTGGTCTTAAATTGTCTCCTTTATTTATTTATATTTGCAATACGAAACAGAGGCTAGGCACCAACACACGCATTCATGCCAGCCTGAGAGGGAGCTGGGTCAAGGTCACTCGGCAACTAGGCTGGACCCCAGACCCTCAGGCACTGGAGGGGGACCCCAGCTGGACCCCCACCAAGCCCTGCCCCAGGGTCTGTGGGAGGCGCAGGGGTCTCGTGAGTGTACCAGGGCCTCATGGGAATGTCACCAGAGAACCACCGGGCCAGGCAGAGGGTCCTTGAGCTCCTGACCCAAGGGAAAGTGCAGGGAGAAAGTAAAACTTTTAACAGAAGGTCCAAGGACTTCTAATGGGATCCATGTGTGTGCTTCAGGAATGTGTGGCTGCCTCCTAAGTGTAGTTACAATAATGTGTGTCTATTTGCTCATTCATTTTCCTGGGCAAAGGGACCAGAGCTTTCATCAAATTATGAAAGGTTATGAAGCCCAGAGAAGTTAAGAATGACTGCACTGAGGCACAGAGCAACACCAACGGGTAGAGATCCAGAATGTGTGAGTACTATGCCTTACAGGAACTTTATTCCTTTTTTAAAATTCTTTAGGCTCTATCACTTATTAAGTTTCTAGAAAGCCATATATCAGCTTTTAATTATATTCATTCCTTCTATAAAATTTGATTTAGTGTTTAGTATACCAACAGTTACATACAGTTATGCATATTCATAGAATTACACATTCCTCTATATTTACACACACATACACACACACACACAGACAATATACACATTTAAAAAATAAAAGTGTTGCTAAGAATATTATCCATTAGGCTGATAAATTTCATACTTAAGTATATATGTTTATATATGGGTAAATATATGTGAATACATTTATGTAAATAAACATACATTTCTGCATACACAGATAGAATTGGACATAATGATCAAGTCCTACTTACATATGGCTGGGTCTGTGTCTGCCCACCCACCAATCAATACCTCATGATAAGATAACTTCTTATAGAGTTCAATGTCTAGGAAAACTCCAGGACCTTTGTTTTATTTTGCATTTTAAAAACAGCTGAGCTACATTATACATTCAGTTTAGTTTAAAGAGTGAGTGATATAGAAAATGCCCGTGTGACCCCTTTTCAAACCCAGAAATGAAGTCCTGGTAGCTTTGCCGCCTGGGAGCCTCACCAATGTCCATCCCCGTCACCTCTTCTCCCCCCGAAACACAGGAACAAACCAGCCGCCATCCCATTATTCCCTTTTTTGTTCTTTACAGTTTTACCAGTGAGATATGCATCCCCTAAATGTCATTGTTTTGCTGCTTTTGAACTTTATAAAATAGAAATATGCTATATATTTTCCTCTTAAGACTTCTTTTGCTCATTATTATATTTGAGAGTTTATCTGTGCTGATGATTTCCGTAGCTGCGGTTTGTTTTCTGTGCTATGTAGTGTTCCATTTATGCAATTATGACTATCCATCCTACTATTGGTGGATGTTAGGAGTGTTTCTGGTTTGAGGCTATTGAAAAGACGCTGCTGTGGCTGAGGATGCCAGTTATCCACTAAAATGTACTCTCATCCCCTCTTCCTGGGTACACAGCTAGATTACATTTCCTAGTCCCTCTCATAATTATGAGTGGTCAGGAGGAAAACTAGTGGACAGTATATATGCCACTTCAGGTCTATCCTATAATAACCTTTCACATGTACTTTTTCAGACCCTTCCTTGTCCTTGCTGACCTGCTATGGTAGGGCCAACCAACAGTTTCCTGTAAAGGTCAGATGGTAAATGTGCTGGGCTTTGTGAGCCATCCAGATCCTGTTGCAAACATGCAACTCCACTGTTGCAGCACGAAAGCAGCCACAGACAATATGCAAAACATGGAAATGGCTGCGTTCCAATTAAACTTATTTGCAAAAATCGGTGGTGGGCCGGATTTGGCCATGGACCAAGGTCCCCACCCCAGTGTCACTGCAATGCTCAAGGTGACCTTGGGAGGCACAAAAAGAAGGCAGAGCCATCATTCTTTGGAGCAGAGCTGCTGTCAACCTGAACTCTTACCCTGGACCATTACAGGAGGAAAAATTTCTTCTTTAAACCACTGATATTTT